ATGTGCCGCTCTTCAATACGAAACTCTTTACATACTGAGAGATTTTATTTTCTGTTAGAGGTATAACTCCAGCAGTGCCATTAGTACATCAGTAGCCAGCCCAGAACACACGTTCCATGTTGGCTAATGTCCATTCTGTGCATATTCGTTGCACCAAGAGTCATTCATTGGTGACAGATATGAGCTAATGCTTTCAGCCACTGAATGACTAGTATGATCGGTAACTGGATTCTTCATTGTGCCAGATGATCTCCACCAAGCATTGGTACCGAGGTTTAACAAACATTGCTGTTTAAGTAAATACTAGTATGCTATATATTGTTATTTAATTAAATAGAACAATTTAAATTGTTCAAAATATAAATGATTAAAAGGGACACTATAAACTAATCTGAAAAGCTATTCTAAATATGAAATCTTAATTTGGTTGCAAATATTACGATTATAGTTGTAAGGAAACCAAGTATATTTAAACCTCATTCGGTAGTTTCCTCCCGAACCGCCAGAGCCTTAGTGATTATAGCCCTCCGTTCGGTAGATAGAATAGACGAACCATATAGTAATCCCAATAGCTTCATAAGATGATTCCCTTAGTGAAACACACAAATCCCCAAACATCAGTCGAAGACAAGAAGAAGGGTACAAAATGAACTAACTTTTAATGGGTACACACAGCTTTTATGCAAGTCCCCATGCAAGGGGACAACCCTCAGGAAGGGACAAATATTCACAAATCATATATAGTAAAACTTTAACACACACCCACAGTTTCCTCCCCTAGCCCTGGAGATAATTAAGTCTGATAAAAGAATAACTTAATTATCTCCAGCCAGAAAGATCACTTTTTTTCCCCAATAACTGGATCACCCCTTTATACTTGGGGTATCCCCACAAATAACATGTCCCCTGATCTGGGTGACCAACATATTCGAATTTCACCCAGATCGGTTCAGGGGTTCGCAAAATCTATGGATGTCTTCTGTGACCGGCTCACCCTGGGCTGTATGCCCAAAACAGTTCCATGAATTTGGTGGGTTTTGCCGGTCACTTTAGAAATAGCAGAAAAGCGAACAAAGTACCGAATGGATCCCTCTGGCTCCTAGCAGCGTTCGTGCCCCTCTGTCGCATGCACCAAAGTACCGAATAGCGCTATTCGGTAAGTAGAGTTCCAGCGTTTGTCTGTTTGAGACCGTGTTCGGGAAGTCGAGTGTCCGTTTTCAGTTCCATACACTCGATGACCAAGTCCCGCTGCCTTTGTTCGCATGAACAAAGATGGCCGCGGTTTTCTCTGCCATGTGGCGTTCGGCTGTATGAACACTGGCCGCACAGACAGAGGTAGCAATTGAATCAGTCTTTGATGTTTAATGAGCCAGAGGGGTGGTCTAGTTACATCTACCGAATGCAATGGGCAGAAATAGTACAACAAAAGGGGGATTTCTTCACAATAGTAATCTGCAAGAATGAGTCTTCACATTTTAAAAATCATTATTTAAATTGAGCCTTACTGGCTAGTGAAGTAAATTAAATCTACCCTGACTGGTCCTTCGATTGAGAAATAACCAAATCCGTGCATTTTTGTTTTTTCTTAAAATCAAGGTGTATCATTTTATTAATATACCTATGTATTGATCAGTATTTTCCAGAACAATCGCTGGTATCATGAGTTTATCATATTAATACAGCCAGATCCTCCTGAATCCATTAATTCTCTTTTTATTAAAATCAGCTTGCTTTTTTCCTAAATTGAAACCTTTTTTTTTTTTTTTTTTAAATAACACAATAGGGTCCTATTTGGATCCCTAAGTACTCCCCTGAGAACATG